AAAAAATGGAATTATAAAGATATGTAAGCGGGGGTTTTAAAAGATGGAGGTTACAATTGAAAGTGGGGAGGTTATAGACTTTTCAATTACCTAAATGGCAGTTTACAAAATCAAAATGGCATGGGGCTAATTAAAATTTTTCAAATACTAAATGAAATGGATTGGCAGTTAACAAACATAAAAATAAGGCACTTGGCAGTCAACAAAAGTGGGGTTAAACAATGGTAGTGAACTGTTAATTAGGTGCATAAATATGGGTATAAAAGTGTTGGTTGACATTTCAAGAAAACTGTGGTAGTTTACCAAATGGAAATCAAAGTGGTATTTGGAAAAATTAGTGTTTATCAATAGCAATATGAAGGTAGGTCAGCAGTTGATTGAAATTGGGATTTAAAATGGTTAGTGATGGGGGTGGTTATGCACTTAGTGGGTGAGTGGCATATTTAAGTGGGTGCCTAAGGAAAAAAAAATAATAATAATAAATCAGCTTGATAGGTTGAGAGGAAAAAAAAATTTTAACGTGGCTAAAAAAGGGGACTCATTGGAAGGACAAAATCATGTTTAGGAGTTCTTTGGAATAAACAATAAGTGTATAAAAACTTAAATTTTTAAGGACTTAATATAGATAGTAGTTAATACAGAGTGTCGTCAAAATAATGTAACAAATAAAAATTTGCCGTCTAAAAGAGATTTTAATCCCCTATAAATTTTTTTTTAAAAAAAAACAAAGTATGTGAAACTTTACTATCGTGATCGAAGCTCTAACTTGAACTCTTAAGGGTCGTGGTGACGTAATAATATAACCCAAATTATATTCCAGTTATACAAAGAAGTTTTAATTTAAAATGAAACAAGACATTTTTTTTTCTCAGTCGCTACACTCATTGACTCTAAGATGATAATGTATACCAACCACGGGGCCTCAAGTACTTGTTAGCAAAGAAAAATGCCAAGTCATAGTTGATTAGATGGACAGTTATCCTACAAGAGTTTGATTTAGATTTGTGATAAGAAGAGGACTGAAAATCTTGTGGGAGACCATTTATTTGGACTTGAACAACCCGAGGAAGTGTATCCAATGAGGTGATCCTGGATGAGCAATTCCTTCAAATGGGGTCGGATCAAATTGTTAGGACATGTGTGCTGAATGATGAAATGGAGAAAATCCTCGAACAATTTTACTCTTCTTCTTATGGTGATCACTTCAGTGCCGTGAAAATCTCATGAAAAGTGCTTCAATCAGGTTTCTATTTGCCCACATTGTTCAATGATATCAACACATTTGTCTGTAAATGTAATTGATGCCAACATAGTTGTAATATCTCCAATCACAACGAATTTCCTTTGAATTTTATATTGGAGGTAGTGATTTTTTATGTGTGGGGTATTGATTTCATAGAATTTTCCTTATTTTTAAATCGATACATATCGAGGGTTATAAATTATGTGTCAAAGTGACTACAAGTGTTGGCCTTGCCCACTAATGATACTTGAGTGGTGGTAAGCTTTTTAAAGAAAAATATTTCTTCACACTATAGCACTTCCTAGCTATCATTAGTGATAGAGGTAAACATTTTTATAATCATCTCTTCGACCTATTATTGATCAAATATGGAGTGAAACATCAGATTGCAGCCCACATCATCCCTAAACTAATGGACAAGTAGAGATTTAGAATTGGGAGTCGAAGAGGATTCTTGAGTTGATGGTGAGTACATTTAGAAAATATTGGTCCAAAAAATTGGATGATACATTATGGGCCTACCGCACTGCCTTCAAAAGTCCCATTGGCATGTTTCCTTTTCGTCTTTTTATTTGGGAAGGCTTGCCACCTCCGGACCGAACTTGAGCATCGGGCTTATTGGGTGATGAAAGCTTTGTACTTTTTGTGAAATTGGTCGGTGAGAAAAGATTGCTTCAATTGAATGAACTTGATAAACTCTGCCTTGATTACTATGAAAATGCTCGGATTTACAAAGAAAAGACAATGAAGTGGTATGATAAGCACATTGTGAAGCAAGTGTCCTTTATTGGGCAACAAGTTCTTCTCTACAATTATCTACTCTTGCTGTTCTCTGGAAACTCCTCTCTAGATGGTTGGAATCTTTCACCATTGCTAATCTATACTCTTCCCACATGGAGTGGTCAAGCTTTATCTTGAAGGAAATGGAAACTTCAAGTTTAATGGGCAAAGGCTAAAACTATACATGGGAGGTAATTTTTCGAAAGAGAAGTCATCCATTCTTCTTGCCAACTAAAGTGATCATGCCCAAAAAGTTGAGCTAACGACTTTAAACAAACGCTTGTTGGGAGGGAACTCAATTTTCTTATCTCTATCCTTTTATTTTGAAATTTACTTGTGATCAATACTTTCATTATCATCTTTTTTAGTAGATACCCATTTTTGCAGATCAAAATTTTTGAAGTCCGAGCCGCCCATGGTTTTCAACAAGTTTGGGGGTAAAATGTGTACAAAAAGTTCATCACAAGCATCATTCAACAAACATCCAATCGAAGAAGTGTCATCAACCTTCTTCTCCCTTTTGTTTTGTTCTTTTACACAATAAGGACAATGTGTAATTCAAGTTTTGGGGTGATGATAAATTGCATTTATTTTGAGATGATTGTGTTTTGACGTGTTAGATAGCCTTGCTGACTTAGGATGGTTTAATGTTTAAAATTGTTATTAATTCATAAGTTACGACTAAATATGTTATTGTGCTTAATTTCACTTTTGAAAGTTTGCTTGTTCATACGAGGTCCTAAGACCATCTTCAACCATGCCCCAAAATTTGTACCAAATTTTACACCAAACAGAAAATTATCTTCAACACATTACTAATTTTCTTATTTTTTTAATTCTTAATAATTTATCTATCTCAAAATAAATTTATTTATTTATTTTAGTACTACATAAATTATTATATAAATAATTACGTCTAGTTAACAAAAATATTGAACTCATTAATGCATTTTAAAAATGTAGTACAATAAATAGAAAGACAACAACTAAAAAAATATTAAATCATAATACTAAAAAAGAGTATAATACTTCGAATCGCAATATCATGATATTACAAAATCGAAATAGTATTTACAACTAATTATTATTGATTAATTGATTGAAATTTATTTTGAATTAAAATTTGCTGTATAACAAATGGATAAATATATCCTCGACAAAAATTGGCGCAAAGTGGAAGAAAAGGGTAAAAATGTATTTAACCATTTTGGTGCAAAAGGGTGCAAATGAATAATATTGAACAAATGGTGCAATGGGTTAGAAGTGATTTGCATAAAAAATTTGGTGCAATTTGGTAAATTATGGTGCAATGGCGATAGGGTTGGAGATACCCTAAATTGCTTTGCGCACTATTGTCTTGATCAATTGTTGCCTAGATGTGAAAATTATTGATTGATGGAAATGATCGTTGAATTGGTAAAATTAGATTGTAAGTTATTATTAATTTCTATTCACCTACATTCTCTTCTCTATCACCTTACTTTATTGCAAGGTAAGTTTCAAAGTGGTCGAGAGGATGAAGGATATTAACTAGAAATGTGTTGATTCCATGCATGTGACCATATTTATGTGGAGTGAATTTAACAAGTATAAGTTAGGTAATGACTGTGTTAGGAATCTAAACCTCATGTATATTTATTGTGCTTTAAAAAAGGACATTACACTTATTGAATCTTATGTCTTACTCCGTAGCATTTATTGAACTTAAAGACATACAATAGCTTCTCGAACCATGGAATTTGAGTCAAGTTCAAAAGCTAGCTCAAATTTTAACCTTCCAAAGATAATTTTTTTTTTTTTTTAATCGTTGTTTTCCAATATAGATATATTAAAATGGGTGGGATCGTATCACCCACAAGTTGAATTGACAAGTATTTGAAAGTAATTCATAATTGGCTCTCGTTAGATTATGAGAAAGTTTGATAAGTGTTTATAGATTGATACACTGATACACATGAATGGGGTAAATGTGAATAATACTTCATTCGTCCCATTTATATAGACTAGTTTTATTTTTCACACGGATTAAGAAATTTTATTTAACCCTTGTTTGATCCCCATTCTTTAAAAAAATTGAATTCTTGTACAGTATTTTGACATCATTTCAACCACACATTCTTCAATAAAATAATATTACATGTAAATCCAAAATTTTTCCTTATTTTTTAACCACACATTTTTCATCAATACACTATTCAAAAATTCATTTTTTTCACTCAAAATGGGGCTCAAATAAGGGCTTAATGTTATTGAAAAAGTAATTTTTGCTAAGAAATTTCCTAATTTACTGCAGTTTAATCTTCAACAACTAGTGGTAAATTATTGTTGGAATTAGTAAATAATTTGAAAATTGATTTCAAGAAGCAGGCAAATTGAGTGGGAAAAACTGACTGTATGCTTATTTGGTTTGCATTAAACCTAATTTTAATTTAAGTCAAAATTAAACAATCAATATTACCCATATCTTATAGAGTAATGTTATTCGTAGTCGCTCCCTTCGATAGTCGCCCTACGTGGCATACATATGGCATGTGATTATTTGATGCATTAATGTGGTAGTTTTTTTATTCATTAATGCATCAAATAACCACATGTCATATGTATACCATGTAGGGCGATTGTCGCAATGAGCGACTGCAAATAGCATTATTCTATCTTATATGAATCCCACAACTTTTTAACTCCACATTTCAAAAACTTTTATCACAATCTATTAAAATATTTAATTTTAACTAGAAAAATTAAATATGAATATATTAATAAATGAACAAAACAAAATTTTTTAAATTAAGAAACGTGACTATATATTTGAAATTTAAAAAAAAATGAAACTAAACTTATATAAATGGGACAAATGAAGTATTTGTGAGTTTTGTGAAATTAGTGAATAAAAATTAAATGATAAAAAATTATTTAAAAATAGTAATACTACAATCATGGATATGATAAGATTCAGACCAAGTCAGGACCAATGAAATCTATATTGGTCTATGATTAAAAATCCCTAGTGAGGACTCTATTCCACATCCCCCACCTTCTCTACGCCACCATTGCCGCAGGAATCTGACGTCATGATTCACGTCGCCGTCGCCCCTCTATTCAACCTCCCTCACCTTACCATCACCACTATCACGACTTCAACAATCACAACACCCATGAGTATTATTGTTTCTACCATGCCAATTAATACCATCACAATTAGCTGAAATTGTGTTTCTTTTATGATCAGTGAAATTATATTTATTTAATTTTCATCCATATATCCAGTCCAACTCATTTCTGAATTTTGATATGTCGGCGGTTTATCAGCAATTTTCAGCATTCAAATGCTCAAACGATTTTGCGTTCCAGTTTCCATATCCTGGTAGTAACAAAAGGTAACCTCTTTTGTAATTAATTTTTATAATAACGAATTGCTTATCTTTGTCTCTTTTGTTTAATCAACTGGTGGTGGCGACGATTCTCACTTTTGTCTGTTTACTCTTCTCTCGTACGGCTATTTGGTTAGAAGTGGTAAAACGTATTGAAAGTAAAATCAAAGAATTTCATCTTCCTTTTTAGTTTCAATCTTTTTTACCATTTTATTCATATATGGATTTATAGTAACTTTTGTTCGACTGCAAATCTGATTTTTTTTTTTTTTTCTCATTTAAGATTGTATACCCCTTACCCACTGTCTCCTCTTAACAATTTTCACGCAGTGAAATGCCATGGTCTTAAATCTGTATGTTTGATGCCTAATTTCCTCTCCTGTGGCTCTTTATTTACTAGCGAATAATGTTAAATATGGCATGGCAATTTCTGTCTATAAGAACAGTTTTTATGGTAGTCAATGAATTTAATTCAAATTGCCTTTAACTGAATTTGCTCCCCCGAGGTTCATTAATATCCATGTGTTTCCCTGGAGACCGAAATATTTCTTATCCTGAATTAATTGCTGATTATACAAGGGTTGATCCAGTCATCGGTAGCTTATTCTCCCAATGGTTTTGCTCTGTTTCAGTCTCGAAACAGTTCCCTCCCTCTCTCTCGCTATGTTCTGTGTTATCACATGGAAATATTAGTTATTCACAATTGATGTGATTTTGGAGAGTTTTATTTGACCTATCATATTACTGCTATATTTTGAAGGAGACAACTAGTGTTTCTTTCTACAGCTAGTACCTTTGATACTGATGTCAATTTCTATTGCTACTAAGCAGGAAGAATGCAAATTGGAGGTCACCAAGAGCAGCCGTAATTCCCAATTTTCATCTTCCAATGCGCAGTTCTGAAGTTAAGAATAGGTACACTGTTATGGCCTATTAGATTTGCCAATCTTTATAAAATTTCCAAATCTGCATTTGAATAGCTAAAACAGATGTAAGTTGATTTGGTTTTACTTTATGCAGCAATTGAACTTTTCATTAAGCAGTTTTACAGTACTCATGTGCCTACCATGCACAGTAAGGGTGTGATTCAATGGATGATGGTTTATGGCCTGAAGTCCAGAGTTCTTCTATAATGTTTGATCCTTGCAACGTACATGAGTTTTCACTTTGCATAGGCTTACTTTAGAGGTTTAATTGAGGATATATTTCTAATGGAGAATAGAATCTATTGCACAAAGAGCATTTCAACTTATTTACCGTATGTTTCGAAAGTGTTTATCAACCGTTTATAAACAGTCAAAATGGGGTCAAATTTATTTTTATCTACACAATTAATGGAACTCACAAGTACTACACACTTATCCTCCACTTGTTTTTATCTATTTATAAATAAAACCATCTATAAACACTTAAATCAATCTCTTAGTAATCGTATGTCAGATACTTTCGTGTGCTTGCCCTTTTTGTGAAACTGCAGACAAGTTTGGCTTTTTTCTATGATTGATAAATGCACAAGAGGGTGTGTTAATCTGCTTTTACTTGAAATTCCTTTATTTAAACTCTTTTCAAGCAAAATTATGTTAATTTGGGTTACTCTAATCAATACATGCATCATCCGTGCATGTTTACTTTTTTGGTGATTAATAGGGATATTAAGAATGATCTCACAGAAATCTGCTCAGTGTCTGTGCAGGGAGGGGGTCTCAGTTTCCTTAACAGTGTTCTCAGTGAAGATGATGTCAAACACCAGCATTTATATTTTCTCAACAATTAGGCCCTGTTTGATATGCCTCCATTTCCATGGAAAATGGAAATTAAATTCCATTTCCCACTTTTTGGCATGCTTGATGGTAGAAATTTTTCATGGAAAAATTTTTCCCTAAACCCATGCCACATAAGCATTTTCTTGCTTTTTGATGAAATGCAATTTCCACCCAGCTTTTTCCCTTTTTTTTTTTTTTTGCAATTGAAACAAATTCTAGGAGCAATTGTAAAAGAGGATATTCCTTAAATTAACAATTTCCATGTAAAACTAAGCCAAACGAACACTAAAAGATAGATGATTTTTTGGATGATTTTTGGAATTTTATTTTTTTATTTTTTATTTTGGGCCATGGAAACAAGTTCTAAGAACAATTGTAAAAGAAGATATCCTTTAAATTGATAATTTTTATGAAAAATTAAGCCAAACGAACACCAAAGGACACTTTTATTTCAACATTTTCCAGGTAGAAAATTATACCAATCAAATACTATTAATTGACAATTCACGGTAAAACAATTTCTAAGCAATTCAATTCCCTTGAATTCGTTTTCTCTCCATTCAAATTCAATCTTTGCAATCAAACGGACCCTATATTTCTTTCCAACAGTTTCCTTCCTTAACTTACAGGGTGTGATCCCCAAGATTCTTGGCCACTGGTTTTAAGACTTAACATGACAAGTTACGTCAAAGACTCCCTTTCAAACTCTCACCCGGGACCCCTTGCCAATTCAAATGATTTCATCCAATCCACAGCAGAGGAGTGTATTGTAACTCTTTGAAAGAAAATCCCTTTTTATAAGAATAGGAGAGATTGATCCAAGACAATCACATATCACATTTGATTACCTCTTTTCCGTTTTGTATGCAGGACCAGTGTTGAAGAGATAAAGTCGCTTAGGCTGATTACAGCCATTAAAACCCCGTACCTACCAGATGGCAGGTTTGATCTGGAGGCCTATGATGCCTTGGTCAATATGCAGATTGAAGATGGGGTCGAGGGAGTGATTGTTGGTGGCACCACAGGTGAAGGCCAGTTAATGGGCTGGGATGAACATATAATGCTCATTGGTCACACAGTTAACTGTTTTGGTGGGTTGATCAAGGTCATTGGGAACACAGGAAGCAACTCCACCCGGGAAGCAATCCATGCTACTGAACAAGGTTTTGCAGTTGGAATGCATGCAGCTCTTCACATTAATCCTTATTATGGTAAGACCTCCTTAGAGGGCTTGATTTCTCACTTCGATAGTGTGCTTCCGATGGGCCCTACAATCATCTACAATGGACCATCACGAACTGGCCAAGATGTTCCACCACATGTAATCCACACTTTGGTGCAGAGCCCCAATATGGCTGGTGTGAAGGAGTGTGTTGGAAATGATAGGGTAGAGCAATATACGAGAAAAGGCAGATGAATTTTACAGTATTTAAACACAGATTTATAATTTTTTTTATAGCAAAAACAACAAAAGAAATTCATCTCTGTATGCATATATTTTACAGAAAAAATTTATATGTGTCTGTAAAATAAATATTTAAACATTATTTCGTTGAAAAAGGGAAAAAATAAAAAATTAGAGTTTAAATTTCAGATGAAACGGACGAAAAAAGCTGGGCCAAATGTTTCCAGCCGGTTGGGCCGGCTGTTTCCAGCCGGCCCAGCCCTTTTTTTTTCCCTCCCCTTCCCTTTCAGATTTTAGAATTTATTTATTCATTAATATATGTTTATTGAAATAAATATTAATGAATATTTAAATACTAATTGAAATAAATATTTTTAAAATAATTAAAATAATCAATGAATTATTTAAAGTATTAAATTAAATTAAATATGAAATGAACAATTTAAAAAATTATATATTAATTCCTTATTTTTAATTTGTGGCAGATATGGCATCAGCATGTGTCCCAATTTGTTACTTTGGTGAATTTCAAATGAATGAAAATGCTCAGTGGGAATGGAAATGGACAAGTGAAGGAGATGGGGTTAAAGCAATTTTTATAACAAAGAGTACATCGTTCGCAGAAATGTACAGTGATATACAAAACATGCTTAACGTCGATCCCTCTCAGTACGATATGGAATTGGGATTTTTATTTTTTAAGCATTCAACCATTTCAATTCCACCTATGAAAGTTACTTCTGAAGTGGAAATGAAACATCTAATTAAATTGAATCAAGGCCGGAAGTCGAGTCCTATTTGCGTAACTTTATTGGGGAAGATGTCCACGAGGGGGAACACGAAGTTTCAAATGAAGAGAATCGTAATGTAAATGATGTTTGGGATACAATTCAGATTGTTCGTGAAGATGATGTGGTTATTCCCGAGACCACTGCTACTTACCATGGTCACACTGTTACGCACAGAATTTCATCGATAGTTGAAGACAACGAGAATGAAAATGCATTTACAAACGAGGATTTGATTGCTTTATCTCGTAGGAGACATGAGTCGGGTGGGAGCTCGCAGGCCGGACCCAGTACACGGTCCTCTAATTGTTCGCGTGTAGTTCCCGATGATGAAGATGCATATGTCGAGCAACTATTCGAATCAAAGAAAGAATTGCAAGAAGCTGTGCACCGGATTGCTTTAAAACATAACTTCGAGTTTAAAGTGAAGAAATCAAACAAGTCGTTATACACAATTATCTGCGTTGACGACAGTTGCCATTGGCGTTTGCGAGCGACTAAGATGGACACGAATGAGTTCTTTGTAGTTCGTAAGTATGCACAGGAACATACTTGCGAAGTGGGTATTCGTCGAAATGATCATAGGAAGGCCCGATCATGGTTTATTGGTTGAGAAATAATGCACAAGTTCCAGGATCCACGAATGATCTACAGACCTTCGGACATCATTAATGATGTTCGACGTGAGTACGGGGTGGTCATGAGCTATCAGAAGGCTTGGAAGGCTAAAGAATGTGCATTGGAGGATTTGATGGGTTCGGCTGAGGAGAGTTATGCTAAATTAGCCAGGTATTTCATTGTTTAAGTGTTTATTTCTTTATTATAGTAAATTTTAATTATTTAATTTCAATTGTTTATTTATATGTAATTAATTATTTAATTGAATTGTTTATTTTTCTGTTCATTTAATATTTAATATATTATCTAAATTATGATTATTTTTATTTACATTGGCCAGGTATTGCTATAACATGGGAAGAATTAATACTGGGTCGGCATTTTTTATTGAGAATGATGACGAAAATCACTTCAGATATTTCTTTATGGCCCTTGGACAATGTGTTCGAGGATTTCGAAATGCAATGCGACCCTTAATCTTAGTCGACGGTACAACCCTTAAGGCGAGATACGGGGGCAAGTTGATTATTGCAACATGCCAAGATGCGAACATCCAAATTTACCCTCTTGCGTTCGGCATAGTCGACGGAGAAAATGATGTAGCAATGAGTTGGTTTTTTACGAAGTTGAGGGAAGTAATTGGAGATGTCGAAAATCTTGCATTCGTAACCGATCGAGGGCAGTCAATAATAAATGGTATCGCCGAAGTCTTCCCCGAGGCACATCATGGTTATTGTATGTACCATATACAGGGAAACTTGAAGACCAGGTATCGAGGCAATGGCGTTGTTGCGTTGTTTAGGAGAGCTGCAGAGGCTTACAGTTTTGAAGAGTTTGATAAGTTCATGGTCGAAATAGACAGTAAATCGCATGCTGCATGGGAGTATCTAACAGAGATGGGGATTGAACATTGGGCACGATCACATTTTCCAGGACGTCGATACAACATGATGACGTCGAACAATGCGGAGTCGCTTAACGCTTTATTCAAGAAAGATCGAGAGTTACCAATTCTTGCAATGATTGAGAACATTCATGACAAGCTACAACAGTGGTTTCATGATCGACGTGAAGAATCACAGAGTTGTGCAAGTGTGCTAACCCCGGCTCAAGAAGATAAGCTCTTCAAGACTCTAGATGTG